TCCACACCTAAACCCCCACACCTTCCATACCTAAACCCCCCACACACCTTTCACACCTAAACCCCCCCACACACACCTTTCACACCTAAACCCCCCACCTTCCACACCTAAACTCCCCACCTTCCACACCTAAACCCCCCACCTTCCACACCTAACCTCTCCCACCTTCCACACTTATACCTCTCCTACCTTCTACACCTGTCAGAGTCTTTCTCCAGGGATTCCCAAATTGTTCCTCTCTGAATTCCTCTTTCACTTTCTTTTAAAACACTCTGTATTCCAGTGACTTGGGGGGGCCCTGGAGATAAGGGATATGCTTTTTCCTATTTGTGTTCCCTTCTACAGTGCCTAGCAAGGTGCCTGCCTAGAGCAGTTTGATGTGTAGCTTTTGCATAGGGTGGAGCTTTAAGTGCAAATGTGGCTCTAAACAACGTATCAGCCTACCCATAAGGTCCATCTCAGAAAGAGCTAGAACAGCATCCATTTTTCTAGACCCCTAGGCTGTGACCCACAGCCTCTCCTTCATCTTCTCTGGGGCAGGTGGAGATTGTTATATCCCCTCCCCCAGGGATAGGAGCACCCTGCCCTTACCGCGTTTCTGGCTGAGTGGATAGTCAGGTGACCAGGGACCATGTGGTTAGATTTCCTTTTTATAATAAAAAATAAAGTTCTTTCCTGGTGACCTAAGGAAGAAATGAGGTAAAAAACACTCTGGTCAGGCTGAACCATGCTGTGGAAATCAGTAGCCTTAATTAGAAAGTGAGAAAGCAGACTGGGCATAGTGGCACATGCCTATAATCCTAGTACTTTGGGAGGCAGGCAGATTGCTTGAGGTTCAGGAGTTTTAGACCAACCTGGCAAAAATGGTGAAACCGTCTCTACTGAAAATACAAAAATTAGCCAGTCATGGTAGCAGTAAGCTGAGATTGTGCCACTGTACTCCAGCCTGGATGACAGAGTGAGACTCTGTCTCAAAAAAAAAACAAGTATAGCTCTTTCCACCATCTTTCCGTGCCGCCACAATGGTGTGCATGAATGTCCTGGCTGATGCTCTCAAGAGCATCAACAATGCCGAAAAGAGAGGCAAACACCAGGTGCTTATTAGGCCGTGCTCCAAAGTCATCGTCCAGTTTCTCACTGTGATGATGAAGCATGGTTACATGGGGGAATTTGAAATCATTGACGATCACAGAGCTGGGAAAATTGTTGTGAACCTCACAGGCAGGCTACACAAGTGTGGTGTGGTCAGCCCCAGATTTGATGTGCAACTCAAAGATCTAGAAAAATGGCAGAATAATCTGCTTCCGTCCTGCCAGTTTGGTTTCATTGTATTGACAACCTCAGCTGGCATCATGGACCATGAAGAGGCAAGACGAAAACACACAGGAGGGAAAATCCTGGGATTCTTTTTCTAGGGATGTAATACATATATTTACAAATAAAATGCCTCATGGACTCTGAAAAAAAAAAAAAAAACGAGTATAGAGGAAGCAAAGGCACTCCTCCAGAGCCACTCCTCCACATCACAGAATCAGCGTGTAGACCTGGAGTTTGCAGTGCATAGTAGCCTACCCATTTAGTTTGCATATTTGACTTCATATATTCTTTGGTAAATAATTATGGAATGCAGATTATGTAGCAGATACAACACACCACCTGCCCAAGGAACTCAGTCCAGGAAAGAAGACAGGCATTTTCGTTTCTTTAGTTCTGCCTGCATCACTGCCTTCATTACATAAACCCCTGAGACTTAGAGGGCAGGAGCCACATCTGTTACCAGCTTCTTTGCAGCTCTTAGCAGGTAGAACTGTAATAAATGTGCCCTATGGAAATAGAAAAACCAGGGAGAGAACAAGCCATAGATGAGAAGTGGAACAGAACATGCCATAGATGAAAAATGGCTCCTCCTGCCCATTTCCAGAGAACAGTGAAGCAGAGAGCCACAGTCTTGGCTCACTGCAACCTCTACCTCCCAGGTTCAAGCAGTCTGGCCACACCTCCCAAGTAGCTGGGACTGCAGGCACCCGCCACTTACCAGGCCCATCTAATTTTTGTATTTTTAGTAGAGATGGGGTTTCTTGTCTTGCCCAGGCTGGTCTTGACCTCCTGACCTCATTACCCACCCACCTCAGCCTCCCAAAGTGCTGGGATTACAGGCGTGAGCCACCACACTGCCTGGCTAGCATTCCTCATGTTTAAGAAAAGAAATTCAATCAAGAAACTTCATTCCCTTTCAATTCAAAGCCTTTTAATTGAGAACCTTCTAAGTGCTTAGTGTGAAACCAGTGGGGAAAGGGAGACAGGTATGGTTAAGGTAAATTAAGACAAGAACCTTCCGGCTGGGCACAGTGGCTCATACCTGTTATCCCAGCACTTTGGGAGGTCGAGGTGGGTGGATCACTTGAGGTCAGGAGTTTGAGACCAGTCTGGCCAATATGGCAAAACCCTTTCTCTACTAAAAATATAAAAATTAGCCAGGTGTGGTGGCACATGTCTGTAATCCCATCTACTTAGGAGGCTGAAGCAGGAGAATCACTTGAACCTGGGAGGCAGAGGTTGCAGTGAGCCAAGATCATGCCATTGTACTCCAGTCTGGGCGGCAGTGCGAGACTCCCTCTTAAAAAAAAAAAAAAAAAAAAAAAAAAAAATTGAGAAAAGAAAAGATAAGGTCCTTCCCTGGAGGAATGGATAGCCTCTGGTATGTGGGTGGGTGTGGCCAGTCAGGACATGAGGTAGATTCCAATGGGAGGCCTGGGGTGGCATGGGGGAGAATGCTCAGTGTGAAGGTCTGCTGAGATGAGCAGGAAACATGGCAGGAGGGACGGGCTGTTTGGGCAGAGATGAAGGCTGGATGAAGAGGGCAGTCGGTGGGAAGGCTTTCATTCACTATGGTGGTGGTGACATGGTGGACCTCAGAGATGACAGGCAGTTAAGTGTGAGGAGGTTTGATGAACCATGGTGTTAGAAGAGGTAGAGGTCAGAAAGTGGTGAGATAAAAATAAGCAGGCTGCATGTTCCATCTGGAAAGAGATCTTTCCAGATCCCTGTGTCTCAGGTTGTCCAATAGTCCTATCAGCCACATTCTCTCCCCTTCTCCCTTTACCTAAGGAGGCGCTGATCAGGATGTCCTCCTGTCCTTTCCTAGGTTTGGGTTTGTACAAGATAAATATTCTGCTTCTGCTTTTAACTTCCCTGCTGAGAACAAGCCTCAGTACATCCACGTTACAGGTGAGGAGCTATGGGTAAAGAGTGGGCAGGTGGGTCTAGATCCCTTTCCTTGCACCGAACCTGTGGCTGCAGAACCACCTCAGCAGGCTCCAGGTGCCCTCCTGGTGGCTGCAACACAGGTGCCCCCCTTTCTCTTCAGGAACAGTGTTTCTGCAGCTGCCCTACTCCAAGCGCAAGTTTTCGGGGCAGCAGCGGCGGCGGCGGAACTCCACCAGCTCCACCAACCAGAACATGTTCTGTGAGGAGCGGGTTGGCTACAACTGGGCCTACAACACCATGCTCACCAAGACATGGCGCTCCAGTGCCACAGGGGATGAAAAATTTGCTGATCGGCTGCTGAAGGACTTCACAGACTTCTGCATCAACCGTGACAACCGGCTGGTCACATTCTGGACAAGTTGCCTAGAGAAGATGCATGCCAGTGCCCCGTGAGGCCAGGCTGCACCAGGGTTAGAAGGCTGTGCCTGTGCTGGGGGAAGGTGGGTGAGCCACTGCCCTCAAACCCAGGGTGGAGGATTCTAGGCAGGCTCTGGGAGTCAGGTGTCCATTTGCTGCTGTCGGTGAGTGGGGGCCATTGTGGGTTTTTTGGTTTTTTTTTTTCGGCCTCCCCAACAAGTCTTCTGCTCTAGAAGAAAGACTTTGGATGCAGCTGCTACTGCTGCCACCACTCCTGTCAGCAAGTGCTCAGAGCAGGTGGGAAGCACAGATTGTCCGTGGGAGGGCTCCAGTGTCTGAGAAGAGGGCAGACAGCCCCCATGAATATCCTCGGAAGGGGGTGACTCCTGGTAGCATCCTTTTCCTTCACCTTCTATGGGATATTAGGAGCAGAATCTGCCACTTCCTGCCCAGGAGTGTGCACAGATGTAAGATAATTTTGTGAAATAATGTACCATAGACTCTCACCAACTGTATATACCTGTACATATCACAAGCAAATAAAAAGCTTCATGTGCATCATCTCTGTCCCCAGCCCAGTTCCCCGAAGCTCCCCATGCATCTACTCTGTCTCCAGCCCAGTTCCCCGAAGAAGCAGTCCCGTCCTGGGCTGGGCAGTTGTGCCAGGATCATGGCAATCAATGAAGTGGCCACAGATGGTGAGAAGGCTTCAGAATTCACTGGCTTGGAGAGTCTGGCTATGAGTTTATTGAGAGATTTCTTTTCATAGGCCACTGGGCAGGAGCAAGGATAGTTCCAGTGAGGACAGTGAGTATGCAGGATAACATACGAGGTAACTGTAGGCTTGAACTGTCAGAGTGAATCTTGCTAAATGGGTGAGCCCAGCTCTGGGATGAAGATATGATGGCATTCTGAAAAAAATCAAAGGAAGCCTCTGTAGACTCTAACTTAGGGCTTTTTTTTGCTTGCTTGTTTGTTTGTTTTGAGACAGAGTTTTCACTCTTGTTGCCCAGGGTAGAGTGCAATGGTGTGATCTCAGCTCACTGCAACCTTTGCCTCCTGGTTTCAAGGGATTCTCCTGCCTCAGCCTCCCAAGTAGCTGGGATTGTGAGCACCTGCCACCACACTTGGCTAATTTTTTCTATTTTTGGTAGATGGGGCTTCACCATGTTGGCCAGGCTGGTCTTGAAGTCCTGATCTCAGACGATCCACCCACCTCAGTCTCCCAAAGTGCTGGGACTACAGGCATGAGCCACTGCCCAGCCCGGAATCTTTGCATATTAAAAGGAAGGAGTGGCTAGGCATGATGGCTCACACCTGTAATCCCAGCACTTTGGGAGGCCGAGGCAGGGGGATCACAAGGTCAAGAAGTCAAGACCATCCTGTCCAACATGGTGAAACCCCATCTCTATTAAAAATACAAAAAAATTAGCTGGTTGTGGTGGTGCATGCCTGTAGTCCCAGCTACTTGGGAGTCTGAGGCAGGAAAATCACTTGAACCCTCAAGGTGGAGGTTGCAGCGAGCCGAGATCACGCCACTGCACTCCTGTAATTCCAGCACTTTGAGAGGCTGAGGTGGGAGGATCACTTGAGGCCAGGAGTTCAAGACTAGCCTGGCCAACATGACAAAACTCTGTCTCTACAAAAAATACAAAAATTAGCCAGACATGGTAGCACACGCCTGTAATTCCAGGTACTCAGAAGGCTGAGGCAGGCCTCTAAGCCATTTAGAATTGCTTGAACCTGGGAGGTAGAGGTTGCAGTGAGCCAAGATTGTGCCACTGTGCTCCAGCCAGGGTGATAATGTAAAACCCTGTCTCCAAAAAAAAAAAAAAAAAAAAAACCATAGAACAGAGAGACAGCCAGGCATGGTGGCTCATGCCTATAATCCCAGTGCTTTGGGAGGCCAAGGCAGAGGATCTCTTGAGGCCAGGATTTCGAGACTAGCGACGGAGCGAGACTCCGTCTAAATAAATAAATGGAAGGAATACATACGATATATGCCAGAGATACTGAGCAAATCTGTGAGGCCTTGCTGAAGCAGATTAGAAATACTGGGAGGAAATGCTGAATAGAGCCAATTTATAGGCCTCTTCGGTTACCCAGAAAACTTCAGATACACAGAATAACAATGGTCACTGCATTTCTTGAGTGTTTCCTGTGTCCTGAGCAATGTGTCATACACCTTTTCATTGCATAATCTATTTTTTTTTTTTTTTTTTTTTTTTGGAGACAGAATCTCTTTCACCCAGGCTGGTATACAGTGGCACGGTCTTGGCTCACTGCAACCTCCACCTCCCAAGTTTAATCAGTTCTCCTGCCTCCGCCTCCCAAGTAGCTGGGACTACAGGCGTCTGCCACCACACCCAGCTGTTTTTTGTATTTTTACTAGAGATGAGGTTTCACCATATTTGATCAGGCTGGTCTCAAACTCCTGACCTCATATGATCCACCCGCCTCGGCCTCCCAAAATGCTGGTATTACAGGTACAAGTCACCACGCCCGGTTCATTGCATAATCATCTTATCAACATACCAGCTGAGGGGTGGAAGGCCCCAGGAAGTGGGGTTCAAGCCCATACGCCAATAAACAGCTGGGTGAGGAATCAGGTTCACGGGAATCAGCCTAGTCTCTGCCAACTGTGCTGTGCCCTTCTCCTGGAGGTGCTATGTCAGTTAGATGCCACCCACTGCTCCATCCTGGGTTTCTGGCTGGGGCCCCCTTCATTCCTTTCAACTGATTGCCTTACCTGTATGGTGAAGCTATGTGGGGGTACAGATGCAGCGTTACATGTAGACATGGCCTCATACACAGGTTCTCTGGTAGGGAATAGGCAGTTAACCAGTGACTTTGAGACAGGACCAGTGGCCTTTCCTCCCTGCCAGGCTTCTATCTGAAAGGCACTGTCTGTGCCCTCTCTTCTGGTCTGCAGCTGTGGCCTCAGCCTTCAAGTGCTTCAGGCAACTCCTAGCCTTCAGACTGTGCTACACGCTTGCCCTAAACCTGGCCTGAAATGCCGGAGTTGTAGCATTCGCGTGTAGCAAAGCTGGTGCCAAGTACTTGATCCTACCTACCAGCCTTGAGATTTGACCTCCGTCTGCTTCTCCAGCTGCAGCAAGATTCATCTGCTTCCTCAGTGAATCAGCACATAGTCCTTCTGAAAAGAAAATCTCTTTTCCCATGGGGATAAAGGGAGATGGGGAATTGCTATGCAATCTCTGGAAAAGTCTTTTCTCTCTGAGCCCCAGTATTTTCATCTGAACTCATCTGTCAGTGAGACTGGGAGAAACATTGGGGACCACAAGATTATAGACTTTTTCCCTTCTCAGTCAACAGGATGACTGAGTGCTGAGGGGGAAATTTCAGTCTCTTTCAGTCCCACAGTTGCCACTGGAATGGAATTTCTTTCCTCCTCTTTGTGCTCTTTTTTTTTTTTCATCAGAGATACAGAGTCTCCCTCTGTTGTCTAGGCTGGAGTGCAGTGGTGCAATCACAGCTCACCGCAGCCTTGAACTCCTGGGTTCAAGCAGTCCTCTCACATCAGCCCCCTGAGTAGCTGGGACAACAGGCATGCACCACCACAACCAGCTAATTAAAAAAAAAAAATTGGCCGGGCACGGTGGCTCACACCTGTAATCCCAGCACTTTAAGAGGCCGAGGCAGGTGGATCGCAAAGTCAAGAGATTGAGACCATCCTGGCCAACATGGTGAAACCCTGCCTCTCCTAAAAATACAAAAATTAGTCGGGCATGGTGGTGTGCACCTTTAGTCCCAGTTACTTGGGAGGCTGAAGCAGGGGAATCACTTGAACCCAGGAGGCAGAGGTTGCAGTGAGCTGAGATTGCACCACTGCACTCCAGACTGGCGATAGCAAGACTCCATCTCAAGAAAAAAAAAATTTATACAGATGGGATTTTTGCTACGTTGCCCAGGTTAGTCTCGAAATCTTGGCCTCAAGAGATCCTCTGCCTTGGCCTCCCAAAGCACTGGGATTATAGGCATGAACCACCATGCTTGGCTCTCTGTTCTATGGGGGTTTTTTTGGTTTGTTTTTTTTGTTTGTTTTTTTGGAGACAGGGTTTCACTGTGTCACCCAGGCTGGAGCACAGTGGCACAATCTTGGCTCACTGCAACCTCCACCTCCCAGGTTCAAGCAATTCTAAGTGGCTTAGAGGCCTGCCTCAGCCTTCCTGAGTACCTGGAATTACAGGCGTGTGCTACAATGTGCGGCTAATTTTTGTATTTTTTGTAGAGACAGAGTTTTGTCATGTTGGCCGGGCTAGTCTTGAACTCCTGGCCTCAAGTGATCCTCCCACCTCAGCCTCTCAAAGTGCTGGGATTACAGGCATGAGCCACTGCACCCAGCCTCTAGTGAGTACTTCTAAATAACCTACAATGCTCAGGATAGACCTTACAGCAAAGAATTATCCAGGCCAGGCGTAGTGGCTCACGCCTGTAATCCCAACACTTTAGGAGGCCAAGGTGGGTGGATCACATAGTCAGGAGATCAGGACCATCCTGGCCAACTTAGTGAAACCCCGTCTCTACCAAAATACAAAAAAAGAAGAAGAAAAAAAAATTAACCAGGCATGGTGGCATGCGCCTTCAGTCCCTGTTACTCAGGAGACCGGAAAACCTGAGGCGGGGGAATCACTTGAACCTGGGGGGCGGTGGAGGTTGCAGTGAGCCAAGATTGCACCACTGCCCTCCAGCCTGGCAGCCAAGCAAGACTCCATCTCAAAAAAAAAAAAAAAAAGAATTATCCAGCCTCCAACGTCAGTCATGTCAGCTTCAAACACCATGAACTAGACTGCTCACGTAAGAGGTTTAGATGGGGACCCCCTCCCTCTTGTGACTTTGGAAGAAGACGCACCTGCCACTTGTTCCTGTCTGTGATCTGAATCCAATGGCAACCCCATCCTTAATCTCCTATAGCAATTACTACACTGGGTTCCAAGGCCAGAGTGGCTAAGAGGCCTGCTTGGAGGCATACAGTGAGTTAGGGACAGCACCAGGATTAGAGTGCTGGCCATATTGAGTACTTACTTGCTGGGACATAGCGTCTGTGTTTCTCTTCCACTTTCCTTGTTCACTCACATAGCTTGCCTTTCCCATTGAATATAAGCTCCTTGGAGGCAGAGAACACATCTTGTTCATCCCTGTATCCTCCATGGCAAGTGCCCATCACACATTTGGCACTTATTTAGAATTTATTGAATTCCAGGCTGTGCACAGGACGGCTCATGCCTGTAATCCCAGCATTTTGAGATGCCAAGGCAGGTAGATCATAAGGTCAAGAGACTGAGACCATCCTTGCCAATATGGTGAATCCCCATCTCTGCTAAAAATATAAAAATTAACTAAATGTGGTGGCATGTGAGGCAGGAGAATTGCTTGAACCTGGGAGGCAGAGGTTGCAGTGAGCCAAGATTGCGCCACTGCGCTCCAGCCTGCTGACAGAGCGTGAAAAAAAAAAAAAAAAAAAAAAAAGAATTTATTGAATTCATTTATTCAGCCAACATTTATGTAAGGCTGAACCAATGCAGGCCCTGCCCTCCTAG